CTTGTGAGCTCTGAGTCTGGGGTTGGGGCAGGTTCCCAGCGTCACCCTAGGTTCCAGGTGGGGCTGTGGGGTTGGCTTTGCTCAGCGGCACTCCTCCGTGCCGCTCTGCTGGGACTGCCCTGCTGAATGCCCCTCCATCCTGGCCAGTCCGAGGAGAGGTCCGTGCTCTTTGCGGTGGCCTCAGCCCTGGTCAACTGCACCAACAGCTACGACTATGAGGAGCCTGACCCCAAGATGGTGGAGCTGGCCAAGTATGCCAAGCAGCATGTTCCTGAGCAGCATCCTAAGGTACGGGTCCACGAGGAGGGCCTGGGGGTACCTGTTTTGGGCGGCAGTTGAGTGGGTGATTCATCCTCAGCAGAAAGCGTTCCTTTAAACCGGCGGTTTCCAAGCTCTGCCTGGGCTGTTTGTTTACATGGTCATCAGTGTCTGCTGTGAGGAGAGTCCACATTTCCCTGTCCAGTCAGCTACGGCCCCCTCCTAAACTGCCCCCTTTCCCAGGACAAGCCGAGCTTTGTGCGGGCTCGTGTGAAGAAGCTCCTGGCTGTGGGTGTGGTGTCAGCCATGACGTGTATGGTGAAGACGGAGAGTCCCGTGCTGACGAACTCCTGTAGGGAGCTGCTGTCCAGGTGAGCCAGCCTGCCTCTGCTAACTCCTGTGTCGGCCTGCAGCGTGCCTGCAGGGGTGGGGCCTGTGCTGGGGGAGTCTTAGAGGCTTGGCTGCCTTGCTTCACTGAGCTTGAGAATGGAATGCCTGCCTGCCTGCCAGAGCCCTGGGCCCCACCCACCCACCTTGTCTTCTCCCTGCAGGGTCTTCCTGGCTTTGGTGGAAGAGGTGGAGGATCGAGGTACTGTGGTTGCCCAGGGAGGCGGCAAGGTAAGCTGGTTTCTGACTCTTTCCTGACCCTGAGCCATCCACCTATAAAACATGACTCAGTGGCTGCTGGCCTTGGGGGACATTTCTAGTGACCAGCAGGAACTTCTGCCGGTGGAGTGATGCTGATGTGGACAGGCTCTTCAGAGTCCCTCAGTACTTTGGGCCCATAAAGATCCTAAGTTTGCCTCCTCTGTGGCCCCAGGGCCCAGCACAACCCATGTTTAGAACCTAATAGGTGGTTGAGGAAGAGATTGGGCAGTTTTAACGAGAGGCCTCAGAGTGAGCAAGAGTCTGAGCTGGGAGTATTCTCAGACCGAGGAGAGTAAGACGGACGGTGCCGTCAGGGTTGACACTTGGACCTTACACTCCCTGCTGGGCATTAACAGGGCTGGGACTGTTCCTGTTCCGGCAGGCTCTGCTCCCGCTGGCCCTGGAAGGCACTGATGTTGGGCAGACAAAGGCAGCCCAGGCTCTTGCCAAACTTACCATCACCTCTAACCCGGAGATGACCTTTCCTGGTGAGCGGGTATGTGTCTCCTTGTTTCAGCCATGACCTCTCCTGTTTCCTCATTATGTCCTGACAGCCTCTGGCCTGGGATTCCCCTCCTGATCAATGGGAAAATGGCAGTTTTGCTGAGTCCTGGGGTAGGGGACAGCCATAGAGAGCGCCACTGTCTCGGGCGGGCCCCCTGCTGTGGATCGGTGGGGTTGGGGGCCACTGCAGTGAGCACTGATGGGGGTGTGTGTCACAGATCTACGAAGTGGTCCGGCCCCTTGTCTCTCTGTTACACCTCAACTGCTCAGGACTGCAGAACTTTGAGGCGCTCATGGCCCTAACGAACCTGGCAGGGATCAGTGAGAGGCTCAGGTAAGGTCCCATGGGAGCTTGGCGTAGGGATTTGGGTGAGCCCCGGTTGTACACTCTACAGTTTGGAAAACAATTCCTGGTCATTGTTTGTGCCTCACAATAACTCCTCTGTCACATACAGATGAAGAGCCATGCCAAGGGTGGTACCAGGGAGGGGCAGGGTGAGCACTGTAGGCTCTGATGGCAGATTGCCAGGGGTTCAAATCTGGCTCCCTAAACCCAGGACATACAGAAGCCCAAGCAGTTAGGTTCTGGGGCCCTGACTGTGCCCTGCACTTCCCCCTTTTCTCCCCAGACTGCTGACACTCAGTGGCTTACTGTATGACCCTAAGCAAGTCTTTAAGTCATTCTGCCTCAGTTTCTCCTCATGAAGTAGTAGCGTGGAGAGTTCATTGTAAAAACGCATATAAAAGACTTTAGTAAGCACAAGTAGGTGTGGTGGCTTATGCCAAGGGAGGAAGATTGCTGTGAGTTTTAGGCTAGGCTAGGCTATAAACTGTCTCAGAAGCCCCCCTCCCAAAGCCCTTAGTTCATAAGTACCTGCCCTAGCAGTAATCACAGTCAACATGCATTAGCTGTTATTACTAATTGTGACCTTGAACACATTACTCACCTCCCAGCCCAGTTTCCCCTTTGGCGAAATAGCTATGGTAACCACACCTACACTTTCACCATGGAATAAGGTGAGCATTGAGTAAGATAATTCAAGCATCATGGGATTATGTGAATATCAGGTGATGGGGTTATGATGAGTAGTGGGTGGAATAATTCAAGCAGCCTGGTCAGGTTCAGTGCTCAAATGGTTGATGTTTGCACAGCCATCCTCCTCACCACCACCCTGCTCTGCTCATTTCCAGCATGCCTAACATTCCTAGGCCAGGCCAGAAGTCTAGAAAGCACCGCACTTCATAACTGGGACATTGCTTGGGGAATACCTCAGCTCAGAGCTCAGTTACATGGGGATAAGGTGGCGGGTTATGGTTGTGGAGATGCTGGCCATGCAGACCCTTCCAATTCTGTCCTGCAGACAGAAGATCCTGAAGGAGAAGGCCGTGCCCATGATCGAGGGCTACATGTTTGAGGAACATGAAATGATCCGCCGGGCAGCCACAGAGTGCATGTGTAACTTGGCCATGAGCAAAGAGGTGAGGGTTGGTCCAGGTGGTCTCCATGACAGGGATGCAAAGGGCCCTGTTCTTTTACTGGGCTTTGTGCCCCGGTGGCATGGTCCTTTCTTCCATCTGGTCACAGGTGCAGGATCTCTTTGAAGCCCAGGGCAATGACCGGTTGAAGCTGCTGGTGCTGTACAGTGGAGAGGATGATGAGCTACTGCGGAGGGCTGCTGCCGGCGGCCTGGCTATGCTCACCTCCATGCGGCCCTCACTCTGCAGCCGCATCCCACAAGTGGTTAGTGCCTGTTCTTAGTGGGGGAGGATGAGGGAACTCCCACTCCCTGCATAATAGTATTGCTGTTGTGTGAGGGGGTTCCTGGGGTATAGGTGTGTTGTCTACCTGAGTTGAGCCTGTTGCTGGGTCCTCACACCTGCCATTTCCTACAGACCACACACTGGCTGGAGATCTTGCAGGCCCTGCTTCTAAGCCCCAACCAAGAGCTCCAACACCGGGGCACTGTGGTGGTGTTAAACATGGTGGAGGCCTCCAAGGAGATTGCCAGCACCCTGATGGAGAGCGAGGTGCTGGAGATCCTGTCAGTGTTGGCCAAGGGTGAGGAGAGCCCAGTCTCCAGGGTTGCTGCAGCCTGCCTGGGGAAAGCAGTGGAATATAGACTGATCCAGCCCAACCAGGATGGAGAGTGAGGATTGGCCCTGGGCCCACAGCACATGCATCTGCCACCCACCGCAGCACTGAGAGCCAGCACACAAGCAGCTCTGGCCAACAGGGCTGGGATGCCGGACACTTGCCTCTCTTCCCCAGCTGCACTCTGGTGTTCCGTGCTGAGAGATCACACAGCACACAGCCCTGCTCTGCCAGCACTCAGAAGGGCCCTGTATCTGTAGAGAGCTGGGAATGGAGAAGTGCATCCCAACTCAAGCCTGTGGATTATGGACGTCAAGAAGGGCACCGCAGCATCCTCACAAGCCGTGAGCACCACCAGAGCCTGCCAGCAGGCACATTCCTCTAATAAACCGTGTGGAACAGAAGCGCATATTTGTTGTGTAGGAGGGTCTGCTGAGGGTGGGGGGCTCTGGAGCAGTAGCTGTGCACCTGGCAAGTGTGCTTCAGAGGGCTGTCCTGCAAGAGAAGGAAGTCGGTGGTTCGCCACCCCAGGGCCCGTTGAGTAACTTTATAGTGGAGACTGAGTCTCAATACGGGTGCCCAAGCTGGCTTCACACTGACAACCCTTCTGTCTCAGCCTTTAGAGTAGTAGGAATTGCAAAGAGTGTCACCATACCCGGCTTGAGTTCTTAGTCCTGGTGGAAGGGTAAGCCTAAAGCTAGGACACTGATCAAATTCCAGTGTTCTCGAGATAAACAGTTTTAGGGTCGAGTACTGTATGCTGATCCCTGGATACATCTGTCGTGATACTGTGAGTTTTCCGTGACCTCCAGTCAGGCAGTGTTTGGCATTTGGCTTGGTGTGCGCTTGCTTCCCTCAGGGAAAATCAATTTTTCTGTAGCTGTGCCTGGTTGAAGAAGAGGCGTGGCTCCAACAGGTTCCCGTCTAGCCGGGGACACCAACCTCTTAGAGGCTGGAGATTGGAGCTCATTGGCTCAGTAGATGTGAGTGACAGCGCCTGGGCCAATCAGTGAAGGCACTAACACGACCTCTTCCGGTCTGGGCAACAGTCCTGGGCTTGCTCTGTGGTGAATCACCTCCCGCCTTGCTCGAAGGGAATGGCGGGTGTCAGGGCTTGGTCCTCGCCTGCCGTTTCCCTCGGGTCTTCATGAGTATTCCTTCAGTGGTTCCAACCGCGTCCGCTGGTGCCCGCCCACTCCCGGGAGCGGCCCGCACTGACTCGGCGGAGGACTCGCGGGCAGACAGGTAAACCCAGCGCCGGTGAGCACGTCCGGGCGCCCGCCCCCTAAGCGGTGACGTCACCGCTCGCGCCTGCGATTGGCTCCGAAGAGGCTGCAGTATCCAATGGCTGCCTTGCCTGGCGTGCGGGCCTTTCAACACGTTCTGCCCTGCCGGTCCATCCCGGAGCCCAGCGTTCCAATGCGCTGGCCTGTTTCCTTCGAGATTTCCCGCCGAAAGGGCTTCCTACTGGGTTGAGGGTACAGGGACATGGGTAAGGTCAAAGGTTCTGTTGGTTGGGGGTCCAGGAGCTGTGGTCTCAGATCTGATTTAAGAGACTTGAGAGTGGCTGTAAAGTTCTGGTCCAGTCGAATGAATTGACGTTGCTGTCGGAACCATGCGACTGTCTGTCTCCCCAATTCAGCGTGAGTTCCCTGGGGCCCACAGCCACTTCATTAAGCCAAAGGAAAGGCGCGATAAAGGTTTGTTGAAAGAGTAAAAGACTGAGTAAGGGCCAGTGGAAATTGTCCAGATGCCTCTGAAACCCGTAAGGGCCAATGGTCATTTTCGTCACTAAATACTGTTGTATTTAATAAGCTTACCACTTAAAAATTTGATTTGCAATTATCGCAAACAATTCTGCAAAGTACATATAAGTAACGCTGTTCCCACCCCCACTCCCCCTTTTTTCTTCCGAGACAGGGTTTCTCTATGTAGTTTTGCGCCTTTCCTGGAACTCACTTTGTAGACCAGGCTGGCCTTGAACTCACAGAGATCCACCTGCCTTTGCCTCCCAAGTGCTGGGATTAAAGGCGTGCACCACTACTGCCCGGCTTCCTACCCGATTTGTAAAAACAGTGCAATAGGATCCAGCTTAAGAGGCATGCACACGCAGGTTCCAGGGCTGTGGGGTAATGCTCTCCTTCCACTGCCTGTTGGGTAGAGACTTATAAATCCATGGGACTAGGCTCAGCTCCGCCCCTGCTGTGTGATTGGGAGTCTACAGTAAAATGGAGCCAATTTGATTCAAGACTGTGGGATAAAGTTTTCAAGGCTGGGAAGTTGGAACACGGAGGCTTGGATCCTAATCTCTCACTTAACTACCTCTCATATCCTTTGTGGTGTTAGAAATAAGTTCTGGGACACAAAGAAAGAGACCACTTCAACTGAAGTTTCTGGACAAGGCAGACTTTGTGCTGGGAAGAGCGGAACACAGAGTCAAGAAATGCACTTGGTTTTCTTCTAACCCAGGTGGACTGTCTTTTCCACCTTGGCTGCGGTCTGACCTACAATATTCTTCATTGGCTGGACTTTTTGTTGTTTTGAAACAAGGTCTATTATGTAGCCCTGGCTGCCCTGGAGCTCACTCTGTAGACCTGGCTGGCCTGGAATTCAACTCACAGAGACCCACCTACCTCTGCCTCCCAAATGCTGAGATCAAAGGTGTGCACCACTACACGCTAGTTTTACAAGAATTGGCCCACAGGGAATTAAGGAGGAAGGAGAAAAGGGTTACTGATCCCAGACCACTGACTTCTTGGAATGCAGCCATGGGACTTTCAGTAAACAAAGGGTTTACTAGAGGTGGAGGGTAGGAGTAGTAAAAACCGGTTGCCACGCCGGGCGGTGGTGGCGCACGCCTTTAATCCCAGCCCTTGGGAGGCAGAGCCAGGCGGATCTCTGTGAGTTCGAGGCCAGCCTGGGCTACCGAGCGAGTTCCAGGAGAGGCGCAAAGCTACACAGAGAAACCCTGTCTCGAAAAACCAAAAAAAAAAAAAAAAAAAAAAAAAAAAAAAAAAAAAAAACCGGTTGCCAGAAAGTCTTATAAGTACAGGGAGATAAAAAGACCTGAATTCCAGGCCAGGTGATGAGGTAGTAGCACACGCCTTTAATCTCAGCAGCGGTGGGCAGATCTCTGAGTTTGAAGCCAACCTGTTCTACCTACTGAGTTCTAGGACAGGCTTGCCTAGTGAAAGCCTGTCTCAAATCAAGGGTGGGGAGCCCAGTGGTTAAGAGCACTGCTGTTCTTGCAGACCTGGGTTCAATTCCTAGCACTCACATGATGGCTCACAACCATCCTAACTCCGGTACCAGGGGATTTGACGCCCTCTTCTGCCCCCTAGGAACACCACGCACAAACACATAAAATAAAAATAATAAATCGTAGCCAGGTGGTGCTGGCACACACCTTTAATCCCGGTACTTCGGAGGCAGAGGGAAGCGATCTCTGTGAGTTCGAAGCCAGCCTGGTCTACAGAGTGAGTTCCAGGACAGCCAGGGCTACACAATGAAACCCTGTCACAAACAAACAAAAATCCTAAGAATTCCTTGCCCTGGATGCCAGTTTTATACTGTTTGATAGAAAAGACTATTACTAAATATTTCTTACAGTGGCACACTGGATTTGAGCCAAAAGTAGGAGACATGACCAGCTCCAGACAGTCAACAGTCACACACTTGATGGGACCTTTGGCCAAAGCTCTGCTCAGGGAACAGTAGTGGGATGGACACCGATTGCCTCTGTGCTTAGGGGGACTGAATCCAGATGGTATCCGGTCCCTGTGTTACAGATACTGCAGCTGCAGCACCCCTCGGAAGGCCAGACTAGCCTGCATTCCTGAGGTGTCCTGTTTGCAAGCATCTCCTGGGGTTGCAGCCTTAACCTCCCATCCTGTAGCCCAGGCGCCAGCCAGGTGGCCGCCCACAGAGGGCTCGGCGTGAATATGGCCAAGGAACGACATGGGACCTGGTTTGGCTTTGGTTTCTGCGGCTTTGGGCAAGTGCTGGGCTCTGGGAATGGGCGCCATTCGGTGCACAGTCCTGAACCACTTTGTGCCGGTGATGACATTTGCCGAGTGAGTCCAAGCTGGAGCTACACCGCCCTGGTGACCCGTGAGTACCCTCACAACCCCAACTCCGGGCCTGTCCCCTGTACACCCAGAAATATCCTACACCCTTTGTCTGGCAACATAACTGCACCCTTCCCCAGGTCCTTGGCACGTGTCCCACGCCACTCTCTGCCCATGCAGGTGGAGGCCGGGCGGAGCTGTCGGGTTCCGTCAGCGGCTCAGCAAGTGGCTGTAGGGATGCCTGGGCTTCAGAGGAACTCCTGGTGGTGCTGCGTGACGAGGGCGGGTCCGGCACAGAGCTGCAGGCCTGGACTCCAGGCTCAGCACTGCAGGGGGAGCCCCTCTGGGTCCGGAACCTGGTTTCTGGTGCAGAGGACCAAGGGGAAGATGAACCCAGCAGTGAGGCTAGGGCGGGCACCCTGCCACTGCTGCCCGGTGCCCATGCCTATGTGAACCGGCAGCCACCCTTCTGCCAGCCTCTGGCCCCAGAGCTGCGGGTGCGCCAGCTGGAGCTGGGTGCCGAGCATGTGCTGCTGCTGTGCGAAGCGGGCCAGGTGTTCTCCTGGGGTGGAGGCAGGTGAGGACCAGCTGCGTGTGATTAGGTGATGCTCCGGAGGTGGCCTCTTGAATGTACCTGTAGCTGATCAGGGACTCCCGTGATCAGGCATGGACAGTTGGGCCACGGGACGCTGGAGGCGGAGCTGGAGCCAAGGCTGCTAGAAGCACTACAAGGCTTGCGGATGGCTGAGGTGGCCGCAGGTGGCTGGCACTCTGTGTGTGTGAGTGGTGAGTGACCTGGGGCTTCTCCAACAAGCTGGCGATCTTGGCCACTCCTTCCTCTTGTTCTGGTTTTTGTTTTGTTTTGTTTTGTTTATGGGTAGTCTAGCACAGGCCTCATTCCAAGCTCAACCCAGCCCAATCATTGCTGACTCTTCAGTATCTGCAGATTTAGCCAGTTGTCTCCACCACCCTCTTATACCTTGACTACTGTAGTTGTTACCTTTCTGTTACTGGGCTCTCTACCACACCCATCCATCTGCTAGCTACCAAGGCTGCTTTCTAAAATACTCCAGAAGGGAAGCACACTCATCCAGGGGAACTGCTAAGAGACAGCTCAGCCAGAAAGAAAGAATGGAGAGGGCTACATATGCCCAGGGAGCCATGACGGTGTGACGCTGTGTGGGTCCAATATGGTGGTACTGCCATTTCCTGGGCTTTTGGGGCAGAGAGAGTATAGATAAGTTGCTGTTTTGTAAAAAGATGGGTGGAATGTCTGTGCAGGTGTCCAGAGGGGCCAGAAGAGGGCACTGGGTCCCCTGGAGCTGGAGTTACAAGCAGCTGTTCACTGCCATGTGCGAGCTGGGAACTGAATCCAGATTCTCTGGAAGAGCAGCCAGTGTTCTTAACCACTGAGTCATCTTTACAGACCCCGAAGCTACTGATCTTCACTCTTGTAGCCCAGACTGGCCTCAAACTCACAGAGATCCGCCTGCCTCTGCCTCCTGAGTGCTGGGATCAAAGGCGTGCACCACCACCACCTGGCTGCTACTGATCTTTCTGATTGGGGCTTTTAATACCCCAATGTTCTCATATATTAGGCCTTGGTGGCAGTGGGGTCCAACCTGGGCAGGAAGACAGAGGACAGAGGGCTGAAAATGGCCTAAAGGGAAGTTTCACACCTAAGGTTTAGGAGCTTGAGACCTTGTGCTTGCCAAAGAGGTAAAATTACTCTTAGTGAATGTTGTGTTCAAAGTCTCATTTAAGGCCAGCCTGGCCTCAAACTGACTGACCTTCAACTCCATCTTCCTGCCTCTGCCTCCCAAGTAGTGTTAGTAAATCTTAGACATGTGTCCTGATTAGTGTGTTATCAACTTGACATAAGCTAGAGACATCTGGAAATAGGAACCTCGATTGACATTGGCCATTGGATTGGCCTGTAGGTCAGTCTGTAGGGGCATTTTCTTGATTGAGGATTGAAATGGCTACAGGGGCTCTACCGCCTCTGAGCAGGTGGTCCTGGGTGCAGTAAGAAAGCAGAGGGAGCAAGCAGCACTCCTCCGTGGCCTCTGCTTCAGTTCCTGCCTCCAGCTTCCAGCCCTGACTTCACTTTTTGTTTTGTTTTGTTTTTCGAACCAGGGTTTCTCTTGTAGTCCTGGCTGTCCTGGCACTAGCTCTGTAGACCAGGCTGGCCTTGAACTCACAGAGACTTTTTTTTAAAAAAAAGGATGAAAATAGAGTTGGCACTGGGCAATGGTGGCGCATGCCTTTAATCCCAGCATTCAGGAGGCAGAGCCAGGTGGATCTTTATGAGTTCGAGGCCAACCTGGGCTACAGAGCGAGATCCTGTAGCTTCAAAACTACACAGAGAAACCCTGTCTCGAAAAACAAAAAACAAAAACAAACAAACAAACAAACAAAAAGTAGAATTGGTCTAGCAAGGGAGTTAAAGGATGACTAAACTGGGTGCTCACGCATAGTCCCAGCTACTAGAGAGGTTGAGACAAAAGAACTTAAAGCTGGAGTTAGACACCGACCTAGGTAACATAGTGAGATTCATCTCTGAAAGGAAGGGGAAGTGGGAAGAAAAGATGTGTAGCTAATTTTCTGTCCCACCAGCCAACTCCAAAATAACTACACAGAGGCTTATTAACTATAAATGCTCAGCTGATAGCTTAGGCTTGTTACTAACTACCTCTTACAACTTTAATCCATATTTCTTATCTATGTTCTACCACATGGCTCACTACTTTTCAACACAGTATATTCATCTTGCTTCTCCCTACATCTCCTGGCAACTCTGCCCTCTTCATCCCTGAGCTCTCTGCCTGTCCACAAGTCCTGCCCAACCTCTTCCTGACTAGCTATTGGCCATGTAGCTCTTTATTAAACCAGTGATAACAACACATCTTTACAGTGTACAAAAAGACTATTCCATAGCAAAGCTGAGCATGGTGGTGGTGCTTGTAGTCCAGCATCCAGGGAGAGGGTAGAGTCTTTGAGGCCAGCCAGAGAGGTACATAGTAAGGCTGCTTGAAGAAGAAAAAAAGGGAGGTTGTGTGTGACTAAAGGTGTTGTATGGGCAGGGAGTCTAAGACAAGAAAGCTGCTGGGACTTGGTAGCGGGCCATCTTTGTTTGGAGGACTACTTGGGCAGGGTAGCTTTTTCTTGTCTCTAGGAATTTTGGTAGTGGGGATGTTTAGAGGATGTAGGTAGATGGGTTTCACAGTCTGTTTCATGGATCCTCTCGGTCTCTTTCAGAAACTGGGGATATTTATATCTGGGGCTGGAATGAGTCAGGGCAGCTGGCCTTGCCCATAAGGAGCCTGGCAGAAGACAAGAAGACAGTGAGCGGGAAAAGTAAGGTCAATCTCTAGGATTCTTTACTGTGTGCTGGACAGGGAGCTGCAGGTGCTCAGGAGCATGACTCATCCTGGTAACTGCTGGATACCACTCATTGCTGTGGGGAAGCTGATGCCAGTTTTGGCACTGCACAACCCACAGGTCTGTTGAGTAAGGGTTGGGCACTGGCTCCGGGACTAGAGGAAGTGTTTAATAGAGCTACTGTAGGAAGACGCAATGTGTGGATGGGGGTCATCTCCATGCCCCAATGTTAAACATTATAACCATTCTAAAGTCGCAGAATTGAATGAAGGTTGTCTCAAAGGAGAGGAAGCAGCTATGGCTGATGGTGGAGCTCCTGCCCCCTTCATAGCCATCCAGCCCTTCCCAGCTCTACTGGATCTTCCCATGGGCTCAGACGCTGTCAAGGCCAGCTGCGGATCCCGACACACAGCTGTGGTGACACGTGAGTGGGATAGGCTCAGGATGGAGCAGTACTCCATCTCATTCTTTAGCTGGGGGCTGCAAAAACCAAAACTTTGTCTTGCCCATCATTCACTTTATTATGCAGGCTTGTCTCAAACTCCTGGGCTCAAGCGATTCTTTCAGGCTTTAGAGTAGCTGGGACTACAGATTCATGCCATTGCACTTTGTATGCTGGGGATTGGATCTAGGGCATCTCGTGCTAAGCAAGCCAATTACTGAGCTACATTTTAAACAAAACTACCATATTATAGCATCTTTCGATATATAGCTTTATGATCAGCTGCCTCACGTTCATGCTGGGCATGGTGGCAAACTCATAAATCCTAATCCTTGGGCTGAGGTAGAAAGATTGGGACTATATGGTAGGACTGTTTAAAACTATCAACTAAATAAATAAATAAAAAGGTTACTTGTGTATCTTTAACAGCTCCATAGCCTCAGACCCAATAGGTTCTTCCTTCTAGAAGGAAACCTGCCCAGTCTAGAGTGTGTGACTCCATGCACCGAGGTCAATTGTTGATATTTAGAAGTTAAGCTTTTTTGAACTGGGTCCTTTACTACCCCAAATGCGATAGCAGTTGCACATATCAGAATTACAGCATGTCATCAATGGCCTGTGCAGACCAAGTAGTGTCTCGCCAGTAGCAGAACAGTGGTGCAGCTCCTTACTGTCTCTTTGGTTGCAGGAACAGGAGAACTTTATACCTGGGGCTGGGGTAAGTAAAAAGATTTTGTGATTCTTCCAAGGGGAAGAAGAACCTGAGAATATAGAGCAGGTGACAAAAGCCACACAAACTAGTGGGGGTAGGAGCTTCAGCCTGATGAATGGGAAGAGGACTGAGAAGCACGTGTCTCCCTTGGATGGGGACAGAGAGCAGAGGAAGGAGGTGCCTCTGACCATCTTGACATAGGTAGCAGGGAAGCTAGAGGAGTCCCTGCCACCATCCTCAGCAGGGTACTGGGTACAGCCCTACACAGCAGTCCGGGCTGGCTTCTTTCCGGAGGGAAAAGTAGCAGGGCCTATCAGAGAAAGGGCTCATTTCATTTTAGGTAAATATGGACAGCTTGGCCACAAGGACAGCAGCAGTTTGGATCGACCCTGCCGTGTGGAGTACTTTGCAGAGAAACAACTCGAAGTAAGGGCTGTCACCTGTGGACCCTGGAATACCTATGTGTATGCGATGGAAAGAGAGAAACTCTGATAGTGCCTGGGTGAGCAGGAACTGTCATGAGCACATGCAAACATTAAGTTTAGAGACAAGGTCACACATCCCCCTGCCTTGAATTGAAGGTGCATGACTTTAAAAAAATCAAGACAGCCAGGCAGCAGTGGCGCATGCCTTTAATCTCAGAACTTGGGAGGCGGAGCCAAGTGGATCTCTGTGAGTTCAAGGCTAGCCTGGTCTACAGAGCGAGATCCAGGACAGGCACCAAAACTACAGAGAAACTCTGTCTCGAAACGTTCCCCCCCCCCTCCAAAAAAAAAAATTCCCCAAGATAAAGACAAATCTTATGAAGCATGTATGAAAGAGTTGAATGTATATATAAATGTTTATTTTTTGGAGCAGTGCCAGGGATTTAAAAACAAAACAAAACAAAAAACACTCAAGACCTTCTATGTGCTGGACAAGCATCTGAGCTTTTTACCCTAGGCCCAGAAGCTTTAATAGTTTTTGCAAAATGAGAAAATATCGAAACATGAAAATATGTGAATAAAATGGTATTTTACCCAAATGAGAAATACTCTTCAGTGTTTTTTAATCAATAGATCAAACAACCATTGGAGAAAAAACAACATGTAGTTTTTGAAAGGTAATGCACTTTATTTTAATATATTTAAAAGGAGAACATATATATTTGAGTAAACAGACAGCATGCTGACACAGATTTGAAAGTCATTTAATGTTTGACAGAACTAGCACAGGCAGAGAATAAATAATAGTGCTTTGGGAAGAGTAGTGATCTTCTGGATGTGACTGCAGGAACACTTCCTTTCAGATGTGCAAAGTTGCTGGCGTCCATGACAAAATGACCCCCCCCAGCCTCTCCATGTGGTTGTCAACTACAAGGAATAATAGACCTAGGCACAGTGAGCACAGGGATGGAGCCTGGAGAAAACTCAACAGGTCAGACAAGCATGTGTGTTCACACACACACACTTCATAAAGAGATTGTACTCTACATACACACAACTCTTACTGCTACTCTTTGGCAGCAGGTCAAGCCATCTCAAATGCTGGAACACAAGAAATCCTCATTGGGATAGTGCGGGGCGAGGGGCATAGGCCTCAGGGTAAAATCAAAGCTACCACAGCTACAGCATTAATTGAATGTCCCTAAACAACAACAAAATTTTTTTTTTGGTAAAGATGTTAATTGCTAATTCCAAGTCTACAAGCCAGAATTGCTTGTCTCATACCCCAAGGCTGGGCACAATCATTTTCTCATTTTTCAATACAGTAATGTAATAAGACAGACCCTTGATCATTCTTTAAGTAGAATTATGGGGTAGAGAAAAAAATTAGGTACCAGATGTTAAAATTTGTACTTAACAGTCATAACTAGATTTTTAAGGTGTCTCTGTGGACCTACTACACCTATGAAGGCTTTTCATCTCTTGTACTCCATCTTAAGTTAGGTACACACAGAACCTGCCCAAGGTTGTTTCAAACATACCTAAACTGCAGAAAAACTATAGTCACCCCTGTATAGTAAAGTCAGTCAGTCCAGTCTAGGCCTAGGAAGCCACAGCTGGCTAACTGGTCAAGGATTCTCAGGACTGGATGTTGGTTGAATTGAGGATTCGAGAAGTAGCATCAGATCTGGAAGCCTTTGAAAGTTCTCGCTGTTGAAAGATAAACATCATCAGGGAGAGCACTAGTGTATGCCCCTGCACTCAAACGTGGTTAAGGTTAGCACAAAGCCCCCAGGGCAGTGTCCCTCAAGAGCTCCTAGCACAGCTGTGCTGGGAACAGACTGAGAAACTCTGAGCACCATTCTGTTAGTCACGGCCCAGAACATGTGCACATAGGCCCCGCTCTCATCCTCAACCAGTCCAATCTTAGAACTTGAAGAGAAACCCTTATTTCAGTTACTTGCATAGTTTAGCCAAGCAAGAAACCGTTGTTTTTGTTATTTTCCTCTTCCTGTTGGGGATAGAACCCCTGGGCCTTGCACATGCTAAGCTTTGGTTTCTTGATCCCTTTGTAAAACAAGGGCCAGACCATTTATCTACCAATCCCGGGGGCTGAGGGCTTTGTAACCTGCTGGTGATTTGATCTCATGCTGGAGTACATGGTGGAGAAGCAAAGGACAGAACAAGAGAGAAGAGAATGGTCACTGAGGAAGACGGGTTAGTTAGGTCAGCTGAGTGAGTGGCTTTGGTGCTGCCCCATGGAGTCTGTCAACCATAGTTGCTGATGCAGAAGAAACCCTCCAGGCTTAGCCAGAGGTAGATGAATGTGAAGGTACATTTAAGCCTCAAAATGGGCTTTGGCTGAGCAAGCAAAAAAAGGAAAGCTGGATCGTTCAGCAATCAGCCAACAAGAGTTCCATACACCCATTTCTTCTGATAGAAATACCACCACCCAGGTCACTGGGAAGAAGGGCCAGAACATGAAGAGTTTCAACATTCCAAACTGGCCATGCTCATTTTAGATCTCACTCCCTTCCCTGTGGCACTAAGGAGGCAGTCCCAGCTTTAATTTGGTATCCCCGAAAGGGTTAAGGGGCAGCCTTCACCTCTCACTGGTGAGATACTGAGGGAAGAGAAAGCAGATGGTTAAGGGAAAGGCATTGCAGTTAGCAGGATGATAGAAGTTAACGACCACTGTAGTGACAAGGGCATTTCAGTCTCCACACACATTAGCAGCTCACTGGTAGAAGTGGAGGTGAGGAAGTGAGTGTAGGCCAGCCTATGTAGACAGACAGGGACGACAGCCCTGTGGGTTAGTAAGGTATATACTCCAGGAAATAACCAGCACACAGGCCAAGAGCCTCAGTATAAGCAGCACACAGCTGGGGTTCCCATCCCCATTTGAGGGGGGCTTTACTCTTTCTAGCACATTCTAGACCTTTGATATCACAACTGGGGGTGGGGCCAGGTATTCCTTTTTAATTTCTTTGTTTTTGTAAATAGGTACATTATACATACATACATATATATGTATGTAAATAATCATAGGTGGGGCTGAGAATCCAATTCAAGTCTGAACATGTTTTCTTGTTAGCCAGCATATCAGTCTACTGGACTTAGAAACCAGATACTTATTTCTGAAGCCTGTAATAGGAATTCTTGTTTTTGTTTGTTTTCCTTACTGTTGTTTTGGTTTGGTTTTTATTTAAGGTTCTATGTTGATACAGCTGAGATTATGGGTTAGTGTAATACTGTGCCCCGATGGAAATGAAGCCAGCAGGTGACAGATCAGTTTGGAAAGGGGATGTGGGACATGCAGGGGTTGCCATACAGACCTGAAGCCCAACAGTGGAGCTGTCAGAGAGGGACGGGTCCTTCTAAGAACAAAGAATTAAGACAATTACCAAGAACTCCATCAAGAGAGCACCAGGGCGGTCATTAGCAGGTTACCTCCTGCAGCCAGGGAATGGATGGTACAGCTTACGCAGAAGATCCAGGTCAAATGTCTAGCTGCTGACATCAACTTCCTTCCTGTACACCCCCTTAAGCCACCCACACCCTACCATGATCAAGGCAGGAAAGGGATTCTCAGCCTTCAGGTCACTCACTGTCCTGACTGAATATCCTGGATGCCCTTGGGAAGATACCCGCTCTGCCAACTGTGTGCTCCCCAGAGACTGGTAGATATCAGAAAAGGTGAATTACCGAAAACTCAGAATAGGTGCTGGCAACAGACTTAATGCTGCAGTTGTGCTGGAGGGGGGTCGAGCCAGAGTACCCACCGCTCAGGATGCTGCCATTGAGCTCCATGTTCTCCTTGTTGGCCCTGAGCCGGGCAGCTCTAGGTGTTTTCTTTCCAGAACACATAGAAGTGACTACTGACTGCACAGAAGAAAGATAGCCACATTATCTATCACCCTAGAATGATGTACTCACACAAAACCCGGTGCTGCCTTTATGTTACTCATGCCTATAATCCTACATTTCTGGCTTAAAAATGGTGTAGTTAACTCAGGTGTGGTGGTGTACACCTTAATCCCAACAGAAGCAAGAGGATCGCTGAGATCCTGGTCTACCTAGTGAGTTCCAGGACAGCCAGAGCTACATGGAGAGACCCTGTCTCAAAACAAAACAAAACAAAACAAAACGTGCAGTTTTAGCTTTATAAAAATGTGCTGGGCACCAAAGCCTTGGCCTGTTGAACACAAGCTGTGTGACTACTGACCTATGAAACCCCTAGCTCCCAGCATGAATTGTACTTCTTATCAAAGTTCCTACTTCTCAGTGGGTCTAGTTATCCAGAAGCCACCTAACAGCAAACCCAATCCTTCCCATGCTGTCAGTAGGGTTGGTGACTGTTCCCTCATCTTTGACCATTATCTAAAGCCCAGCTCATAAACAGTGGGTCATGACCCACATGAGGAGGAGTCATGAAGAACTCCGTAATGAAATGGTTTTTGAATGAGTGTGAGCAAAGCTGACTCAGAGTCAGTGTCTCGTGAACCGAAGGTGTTCCCAGCATCAGTTACACGTGTACTGTCCACTGCAGCCTCTGCTCCGAACACAACGCGCTGGGAACTGGCATGTCCTATCACACTGTGCCAACAAATGCTGTCGGACTAGTGCTGATTCAAGACCGCTTACAGCATAGACCGCAGCAGGATCTTTACATAGAGCTCTGCTGTTACAGGAACATGATGGTTTAATTACAGAAAACAAACTTGTAATATTTTCCTACCATAATTCCCTTTCACTTAAGTATCAAATGAATATGTCCTTAGAGTGTATTGTTAGAACTTTTTATTTTAACTGCTGAGGTGCTGACTTGAATTTCATTAAAAAAAAAAAAAATCATTACTGAACTTTAGCTTAATTAGGGCAGAATTTCCAACAAATGAAAGTTCCCTAAACTTACTTCTGTAATCTTGTACTATTTCTAATTATAGTCAACGTTAATGATTATAAATCAAGCTATTGCCAGGCAGTGGTGGCGCACACCTTTAGTCCTAGGCACTTTGGAGGAAGAGGCAGGCAAATCTCTGAGTTCAAGGCCAGCCTGGTCTACAGAGCGGAGTTCCAGGACAGCCAGAGAAGCCCTGTCTAAAGAAAGCAAAAGCCCTGGTCTAATGACTCTGGCTCTGGCCTGACTCTCAGAATCACAATGATCAGCAAACTGTGATCTTAAGAGACCAGGCCGAGGAGGACGTCTAGGAAACACATGGCAACAGGGATATGCTTGTACAGAATACACTAACCTTGCTGCCAGAAGGAGGTAGTCGGGATACAGGTGAACGGTACATTGTTCTACCAAAGACAGGCCGAATGCTGCTATTGGGTGTAGCACTGGACATGGTGGTGGTGTTCATCTAAAAACAAATACTTTATTGATGGGAGGTTAACAACATCAGCCTTCCCAACAACTCAGCTCTACCCTGTAGGAAAGAGAGCATCAAGTGTCCAGGAAGGAGCTTCCACAGTAACGCTGGCTGTGCATAATACTGCACAGCTTTAAGGAAATTGAAGAAATGTTTCAAAACCTATTTAGACCTGATGAAACTACAAACTTATATAACTACTTATGGCACAAGACATGTACCATCCGACCCAAACATTTTACCCAAGAGAAATGAAAGCATATATCCATATGAAGACTTATACATGTTTATGGCAGTTTTATCTGTTAACAGCCCAAAGCTAGAAATAAATATCCCTTGACAGGTGACTGGACAAGCAGATTATTATATATGCACAAAACAGAATACTGCCCAAAATAAAAAGGAATCACTTATTAATACATACAACATAGATGAATGAAACATGATAAATGAAAGAAACCTTACAAAATATAGTGCATGATTCTATTTGTATAAAATGTTAGAAAATGCAACATTGTGACAGAGTAAATTCCTGATTGTATTCTCTTCCTCCATCCTCAGACCCTAGCAAAATGGCACTAGGAACCTTTTGGGGCCATGGATATGTCTTTTATCTTCACTATAGTGATAGTTCCATAGTATTATGTTTGTCAAAACATATTAAAGTGCACATGTTATTACTGCATGCTTATTATACTAAATAAAAGCTGAAAATTTTTTTAATGGTAAAGATTGAGCCAAGGGCCTTGCATATGCTCTACTTAATTTTTAAAAATGCTTAGCATGCTGGGGTGTGGTGGCTCAAATCTGTAATCCCATCCAGCACTCTAAGAGGCATTTATTAAAAGCCTGGAAGGTATCTTTAATCTAGTACCGTGACTACCTGTTAAAATTACAGATGATGAACTTTTTTTTTTTTTTTTTTTAAGTATTCCGAAACAGGGTTTCTCTGTGTAGCCCTGGCTGCCCTACAACTCACTCTGTAGACCACGCTGGCCTTCACTCACAGATTTGCCTGCCTCTGCTCCAGAATGCTGTGTGCCATTACTGCCTAGCTTTGGATGATGACTGAAACTTCACCACAGAATGTTGCTGGCAATTATCAGCCACCATGGGTTTATTCATCCAAGGTCTTAGTAACTGGTGCAGAACTGGCTACTCTTCGACTGTCACTATAAGCTGCTACTCTGAATGTTTTCCCATACCCTCTCAAATAGACCCAGCCTAGAAAGAGAAACTCTTTTACCTTCTTAGCAGGACAAAGGGCAATAAAAAGCAAAGAACTCTGGCTTCCCTACACCCTCATGAACAGCAACAGCAAGAGATAGATTTACCTTGCGTACTTTGCCTGGCTTGCTGGGAGTCACTCCTGGTCTCTTGCTAGGTGTCCGGGGAGCACTGCCATACAGCATCTCTGTCTCTGTCTGTTTCTTGTTCTTTAGTTGCTGGGTGAAACAATGACATGCCCATAAGACAGCAGGACCAGAAACCCCGGTACAGATCTGCAGGCTGCGGTAGGAGAAGCTGCCGCAGTCCACCTGGTCTTGAGTAAACCCCGGTCCCTGGAGGGTGCAGGACCACCCACCGAGTGCTATCTTCTTCTCCTAAACTGTGTGCACAACTTACTCTCTCCTGTTTGACTCGTTCCTTCTCCAGCCGATGTAACTCCCATTGTTCTGTAATGTACTCCGTGAATTTCTGCCCGTTCACCACAAATGCCATTGATTGCTCTTGTTCCCACTTGTCAATCCGGGCTTTCAAGTCCTCCTCCAGCTGGCCCGGAAACAAGGACTTGTTATTTACTTCAAATCTTTACTCAAATGAAATAATTATCCCAAAGAAAGACTCTTTCCCAGTGTCATTAACCTTCTGACAGCTGAATCCACATGAATGTAGGTTGGAGTAAATGGAAATCAAAGACTAGAGTCCATTTAGACATCAAAAAGGAAAAAAAGCAAGGACCCAGTCTGAAAATGGCGGTTTTGATGCCTAAAGTTAGAAGCAGCACTGGGAATATCAACATTATCTAGACAGGGTGTATTATGAACAAGACTATGGGAGCACACCCACTATCAGGGTTTCAATATGGAGTCAACCTCTTCACTAGCAGTAAAGGAGGGTAAGTTGCACTTATCTCAGTCCCCTATCTCTACACATGGAAATAATATTAACCTATAGGGGTACTGGACAATGACATGAATAAATGAAACACCATTGAATAGTGTCTGGCAGAGGTCAAAAGCTATTTAGTACTGTTACTAAACAGAGGACAATAAAGTGCACAACACTTTTGTTAAGTCTGCTTATGCTCTAGACACAATTGTCTTTACTGTGAATGCGCACCCTAGTACCCACACCTCACTGTTCTCATCTGGAACATCTTTAAAGAAGGTAAATGGGTTCAAATACGGTCATCAGGGTAGGACCTAATCCAACAGGATAGGCAGTAATTAGGACAGAGACCCAGAGGAAAGACCATGTGAAGACACAGGAACAGAGGATGGCCAGCTCCAGTCTAGTACAGAAGTCAGGAGAGACCCAACCCTATCTTTCAAAAACACCTTGAGCTCATACTTCTAGCATGCAGAAGTATAAACAGATAAATTTCTGTTTTAAGCCAACTAGTCTCGTATTTAGTTGTGGCAGCCTTAGAAAACTCAGACTCTGATACTCAGTTGCTACACTAAAGGCCCAATACATACTGACTGTTCTTCCTATGTTTGAAAAGGAAAGAATAAGGTCTCACAACCAGAATTACCTTAGGGAGTGTTTTCTGGAGCTTCGCTCGCTCCTTTTCTTCTTTGAGAAGATTTCCCCCTCGGTTTGTAAACCGACTTGGGTCTGAAGCTTTTCTCTGTGAACAATACATTAGAGTCAAACCTAGAGGGCTGATGACACAGCAGAATGCCTGCTGAATAAGCAAGACGACTAGGGTTCAGGTCCCCAGCACCCAAGGGAAAATCAACATGTGGTAGTGCACGCCAGTAATCCCAGTGCTCAGGGGTTGGGACTGTTGGACAGGAGGATCCTCTCCAGTCTAATTTAGGAGCTCCAAGTTCAGTGAGAGATTTTATCTCAAGAAATAAGGTAGAAGCCAGCACTCGGGAAGCAGAGGCAGGCGGTTCTCTGTAATTTCAAGGCCAGCCTGGTGTGCACAGCGAGTTCCAGGGCAGCCAGAGCTCCATAGTGAAACCTTGTTTCAGAACAAAGAGGAGCAACTGAAGACTCCTGATAATAATCTCTGGCTTGCACATGTACATATGTGCTCCCTTATACATACATATACCATGTAACACACCAAAACCAGAAACCTATCATAGACACCAATTATCATCAGATGCGTATGTTAAAGGATTTTATAAGTTTTGCATTCTTGTTTACTCAACAGTGAGAACCAGTAATTTTCTAGGCCATGGGCACTCCCTGCCATATATAAGGTCATCCACTGGGGAATCAGGAAAACTAGCATTTCCATTAAAAAAAACAACAAAAAAACTTCTTAGCATATATTATACATAATTGTGAGTTTCTTTTCTCCTTTCTTTTCCTTCCTTCCTTTCTTTCAAAACAGCCTTTCTCTGTGTAACTCTAGCCCTAGTTGTCTGTCTTAGAACTCACTCTGTAGACCAGGCTGGCCTTGAACTCAGAAACTCACCTGCTTCGCCACCGCTGCTCCCCGGCTGAGTTCCATGTCTTCATGCATGTTCGTGATGTGTTTTGTTCACATTCAACCTCTTACTCTCTCGTCACCTCCCCAATGCTGCTGCCGATTCCCTTCCTCCCGCCAACTGTCCCTTTCCTACTACTTGTTTTTGAGGGGGTGACCCAAAGAGCTTTCAGTGAGGGTTGCTTACAGAATCATAGGTAAAGGGTTATTTACAGGAGCAGGGGCAACTTTCCAATAGCTACACTACTTAACAGAAGTCTCTCCCTCCCTCAGTAACCATTGCCAGTAGATCCTCGGGGAAGGGGAAGGCCTGGTGTGCCCCCTCTCATCTGTTACCTTATAATTTAAAACATAAAAGTAACCAGTGCTCTCTCTGTTTGAATGTGAGATGAGAGAGTTATAAGCTGGCAGGCTGTCACAAGCCTTTATTTCCAGCACTCATGGGGCAGGCAGATCTCTGTGAGTTCTAGGCTGTCTAGAGCTACAGAGTGAGACCTTTTTTTTTTTAAGTTAAAATGGAATGGAATAGAGGATGTGTGGAGGGATGCAAGGAGGCCTGAACTCAGGAATTGATGTGGTGCCTTTGCTTGCCCACTGACTTCTGCACTTACAGCTAGCGGAGGGGAAGGCCTGGGTTAATCCCCAGCACTGTCACAAAGTGCCAGATGTTGGGCTGGGGAGGTAGCTGAATGGTAGAACATGCATAAGACCCTGGGTTCAATCCTCAGCATCATCAAAAGAAAAAAAAAACTATTCTTTTTTACTTTTCATTTTTGTTATTTTCTAACATATACACAGTAATGAGTATATAACATAAATTAGATGTGCTACTCAAAACTAGGGGCAGGTAATCAGTAGTATTCTTGACAGAGTGCCTGATTGGTACAGCCTATAAATAATAATAACTGCAGGGGGCACTAACCTCTTTTATTCCCTCTCCTAACGTAGGCGTGTCAACCAGGGACTCTACATTTACATTTCTGTTTATGACCTCTCTCTGCTTTCAAGCGAAGTAAGATTACCAGAGGAACTTTCAAGCTGGATGTAAGCCTCACACTTTTTTCTACCCGAGGATCTGACTTCTCTATTTGTAATGTTTTTCCTTTCACTTTGAAGCCCAGGCGAGGGTAGAGCCCATGACAATCCTTCAGCTTCCCAAGCGCTAGAATTACAGGGATGGGCTACCACACCTGGCATGCTTTCCTGATGGTTTATTTCACTCTAGAGAAATACAGAAGATGTTACCTCGAACTCTAGGAAGAGTTTCCAGCTCTCTTCCCATTTCTGGACACCTTCAAATAGTTCCTTATGCACGTCATAATAGTTTCTTAACCGTATAATCTCGGCATCATGAAGATGAAGCAGGTTTTCGGTGTAGTCGTCTACAACAGAAAAGTTCAGTAATGGGCTTTTTTGGTTTTGGATTTTTTTTTTATTATTTTTTTTTTTTTTTTAACAAATGCCTTTAATGCAGTGGTTCTCAACCTGTGGGTCTCGACACCTTGAGGTCGCATATCAGATATCCTGTACATCAGATAGTTATAATAGGAATCATAACAATAGCAAAATTACAGTTATGCAGTAACAACGAAATAATTTTATGGTTGAGGAGGGGGTCAGAACAACTTGAGTAACAGTATTAAGAGTCCCAGCATTAGGAAGGTTGAGAACCACGGCTGTAGTGTTTGGTATTCCAAGTAACTAACCCTACAGTATGGAAAATTTTCTACCTTATAATAAAATGACATAGGAGTAAATAAAGTAAAAATAAACCTTAAAAAAGAAGAGAGGAATAAAAGCCAGCCACAATAGCTGGGGTGGACTAAAACGGTCTAAATCAATGCACATTTCTCCAAAATGTATTGTCTCTTCTTTTTTACATACTCTTCCTTTATGCCTTGCACAGCCGACCGACACATAAACTACCTAAAGATCTGTTATTTCATTAGGATACCTCACTTCTCTGTTCAGTTTAAGACAGCCTGAAACTCTTCTTGACTCCCTGAGTTCAGACAAAGGCTCAAGCATTTAGCTGTTATGTCTCTGGGTTCAGTTGCTCAAAACTTTGTGCTTTAGGGCCTTTTCTTAAGACATGAAAACTAAGTAAAGTGATTTTTTTAAGGCTTGGCTCTCTCTGGTCAGAAGTAGAAATGCACAACTTCCTGGTGAGTGGCTGAGTTTGTAAAGACCTCCATGTGAGGGCGACCACGTGAGGAGCACCACCTCTGTACTAACCAGAGTAGTAAGGGGCGAAAGCCTGCCTCTGCTCCTGGCTGTAGAAACACTGGTCCCAGAACTGAGCCAGCTCCACTCGGATTGTCTCAATCACTTGCTTTATGTTTTGCATTTTCAGTTCTTCTAACCGATCCAATTCTAACTGCAGCTGAAAGAGAAAAGACAAAGGTGATATATAAACACACCTTCATATTTACCTTTCCATGTTTAAATAAAATTACAGGACAAAGGTATAGAAGAAGTAAATCAACAACACACTTTATAACATTATAAGAGCCAGAAATCTAAGGAATATACCCACAAAACGTGCCTAAATAGAACTTGTCTTTGCTGGCCCAAGACATAAGCAGTAAGGACATTAGACTGGACCCAGAAATGCTCAGAGAGCACTATTTACCCAACACCCATTGGTTGTCTCACCGCATTCCTGACTTTGGCTTTTGACCCAGTCATAACTGCAGCCACAGGTTCTTTCTCCTCTTCAGGTATTTGTAACCTATCCCAGAGCTCTCGGATCTGAGCACGGAGTCCCTCGCACTCTGCCTCATTTTTTGATTTTTTCACTTCGAGCTGGAGCAAAGAAAAGCAGTGGTTACACCAAAACACAAAGGCTAGCCTTCTAGTCTCTCAGGAAAATGTCTGGACCCATGAGAAGGGAAAGCATTTTTATGAGATCCATATATATTCATATTCATATCTCCTCTATGTAGCATAGGCTGGCTTTGACTTCACTTCCTGAGTGTTGGGATTATAGTTTAGGTATATGCTATCTATCACACTTTTACATTGAGTGCTAAGAGACATGTTTTCATGCCATCTAAACACACACTGTAAGGCTGTCATTGCCCTAGGGTATCAGACCTATAACAGGATTCAAATATTGACTTCTTGTGGTTTTGAAGATTTATTTATTTTGTATACAGTGTTCTGCCTGCATGTATGCCTGCACACCAGAAGAAGGCATCAGACTCATTATCGATGGTTGTGAGCCACCATGTGGGTGCTGGGAATTGAACTCAGGACCTCTGGAAGAGCAGCCAGTGCTCGTAACCTCTAAGCCATCTCTCCAGCCCATTGTTGTTGTGTTAAGACAGTGCCTCATTATGTAGCCCTGGCTGGCCTAGAATTCACAAAGATTCACGCTTCTCCCTCCTGCTTGCTGGGTTTAAAGGCATGTGCCACCATCCCCAGCTCAGGATTCAAATTTAATTTTTTTTTATTATTATTAAACATTAGGATAATTAAAATGGCTAGTGCTATTTCATCTGAAATTTCAGTTTAATATTCTGTTGCAGCCTTTAGAGAACCTGCTCCAAGACCACACCTAGGGTTGGCAAAATAAATCCATGATGTTGGCAAGAACTAAACTTTTCTATCTGAGGGGTAGGAAAAAACACACCCATTCTGATGCTAACTTTATTACTCCATCTTGAAAAATTTCTCTCTCTTGAAATCTCTCTGTCCTTTTGTCTTCACATAACTGTATCTATTCCCAACAAAAGGCTCTAGACAACATAAGAGTTACATTTTGAGGGTCACATTACATTTCTTGAGTAAATGATAAGAAGCAGAGCCATTCTGATAACACATAAGAGGTTTCTCTAGGACTTGGAATGTTGCACTGACCAAGCAGCCGGCACAGCTGGGAATGAGTAGCCATGGCAATGCTCAGCTGTCAGCCAGGCTCCCTGGTGTGCAGGCTGTAAAGCAATGGCATGAGACACATAGCACCTAATGCTCGGCATTTCCCAATGGAGAGTGACATTGAAAGTGTCCCAAAACTAAAAATATATTTTCCTATCCTGTGTACAACCCTGGATCACAAAGAAGGAAACCTGTGACTCTTTGTTCAAGGCTAGAGGTTAGATTATCCTCTGCAGCCCTGGCTAATTGTGAAAACTTCCCCACAGTTCAGCTGGACATAAAGCTATTTCTCTCTGGACTTGGTTAATTGATTAATTGCTATTCTGTCACTGGTGTAAATTTCAGGACCTAAACATAAACAGTTAGTTGGTTGAACCTTGAGTCTTGTATCATAAAAACGAGGTTAGGAGTTGGTGCAGAGAGTCGGTTGCTGAGAGAATTTGTACAGGGAGTTCTGTCTTTGATGTGATCAGCCAGACTTTCGCAATTGAAGAACTGGTACTAAGGTTACTTTATGCCTAACCTTGGTTCAACAATTAGACACCTGGGAATTCGTTCTTGTGCATTTTCTGTGAAGGTTTATCTTACGAATTCATTTGCAGGGGCAAATACTCTACTTTGAATTTGCTTTGAGGTCTTAAAATAGCTAATTGTATGCAGCTGTCTTGAAGCCGTGGAATGAAGGCCTGGCTATGAAAGTATATTTTATTCATTAAAATTATACAGTATAAGAATAATCTGTCAATCCACAGAAATAATTGTGCCCAATAAGTGGAAAACACACTACCAACAGGCTATGGGAGGAAATCCGATAGCTGTTTTAAGGAAGAATTGTGGTAGTACACAAGAAAATTACAGGCAGAAGAAAAACAACATTCATAGTGTCCTGTGGCCCCATAAGCATTGCTTGACAAGGTTCCTCCATCAGAGAGTTAGTCATCTGGTGGGTTGACCTTATGAATATCAGTTGTCATCTGCTGTATTCTTATGGCCTCTGGAAATATTCTAGGAATATTTATTTCTATTTCACACAAAAGGTGGTTTGGACTTCTTTTCTAAATTAAAAGAAAAACCAGGTCAGGGACATGGTTTGGGCTCACTGTCTAGGGTCTAGGATTCAAGAGAATACAAGTTTTAAGTTCAATCTCTACCACTGAAAAAAGGAAAATAGGAGCTGGGACATAGCTTAATCAATAAAGTGCTCGCTACTCAATCCCCAGAACCTACGGAAAAAGCTGAGCCTGGTAGGATATGCTTGTAATCTTAGTGTTGCAAGATATTTGATCATACTGTGTGAAAATGTGCCACTATTTTATCTTGCCTGCCTAAGGCACCTAACTGGTTTAATAAAAAGCTGAATGGCCAATAGCTAGGCAGGAGAGGTTAGGCGGGACTTTAGAACAGGGAGAGGAACTCAAGATGAATCTAAGCACGAGGGAGACGCCAGGGGGACATGGAGGGAGTCAGACATACAGAATGTTAGAGAGGTAAAAAGCCACATGGCAGAACATAGATTAATAGAAATAGGTTAATTTAATTTATAGGAGCTAGTTAGGAACAAAAATAAGCTAAAGGCCAAGCTTTCAAAATTAATAGTCTCTGGTTATTATTTGGGGGCTGGCAGTCCCAAGAAAGTCCAACTACCTTTACATCTTAGCACAGGAAAGGTGAGACAGATCTATAAGGCTCAGTGGCTGGCAAGCCTGGCTAATTAGTGAGCACTTGTCTCACTAAGGTGGATAGCTCCTGGTAATGACACTTGCAGTTGAGCTTTGACACATGCTCTCTGTCACACCCACACACACCAAACAAACAGATACTACATATTGTTCTGTCTTCACTTATTCTCTCTCTGACACATACACACACACCCACACCCACCAAACAAACAAACAGATACTACATATTGTTCTTTGTCTTGACTTATTCTCTCTCTGACACACAGACACACACACCAAACAGATATATTACATATTATTCTCTGTCTTCACTTATTCTCTCTCTCTCTCTCTCTCTCTCTCTCTCTCTCTCTCTCTCTCTCTCTCTCTCTCTCTCTCTCTCTCTCTCTCTCTCTCTCTCGATTTTCAGGACAGGGTTTCTCTGTGTAGCCCTGGCTGTCCTGGACCTCGCTCCATAGATCTTGAACTCAGAGATCTGCCTGCCCTTGCCTCCCAAGTGTTGGGATTAAAGGTGTGGATCACCCCACACACACACCCACACACAGTTGCTATTCTCTTAATTCACACTGGCACCGTATTTAAGACCACAGAAAAGCTGTTGGTCTCCACTGATAAACACTAGTGAGATGTCCCAGCTAACCTGAGCACGTTACCTGCTGCAGCAGCTTCTGTAGTGTTGCGATGTTCTCCAGGGATAAACAGAAGGCACTTTCATCTTCACACACGACGTCTCTCTCAAAGCTTGTATCTGGAGTGTGTTCTAAGTCTTCCATACACAATATGATTTGTTTCTTAAGGTTGACAAATTGCTCATGCCTAGATTCCTAAAATAAACAAATTATTTTAAGATACCTAGCCGCCAAATGAAATTTTAGGGTAGAATGAATGCAGGCAGCATACCTTTGTTTCCCTCAAAGTTGCCACACGTTGTCGGAACAGGTTTAGCTCTTCTAAGGTGGGGACAGAGGTGCTGTCCACATCATAGGGAGGCATACAGAGAATTTCACAGAGTTCCTGATCTTGTTCTTGCAGTAGCTTAAGTTCCTGCTTTCTCTCCTTTTTCTGTTTTCTCATCAATTCTACTTGAGTGCGCAAATCTTTTTCTAGTTGCAAGACAGTTGTGTCTCTTTCTTCCTGTGTGAAATAAGATAGGAGTCTTGTAAGGTCCAAGGACGGAAGGAAACTGGGGCAGAACACGAAGGACAAGTGTTTACATTTACAAACAAGGCAGTTTAAGCCAGGGTGGTGGCTCACACCTTTAATACTAGCACTTTGGAGGAAGAGGCAGGGGGATATCTGTGAGTCCAAGGCCAGCCTGGCCTACAAAGTGAGTTTCAAGATGGTCAAGGCTATCACACAGAGAAACCCTGTCTCAAAACAAAAACAAACCAACAAACCAACACCCCGAGGTAGTTGATATGGCCAACGGAAAATGATGTAAAGAGGATCACCTAGGGTTTCTAGCAGGGAAAGGCAAACAGGGCCTTTTGTATCTCTTGACTTGTACTATGTGGCTAAGGAAGACTTCAAAGTCCTGATCCTCCCACCTCTGTGTCAGGTGCTGAGATTACAGGTATGGGTCACCATGCCCAACTTCCTTTTCCAATTTTTTACTATGGTAAAATACTCCTAAATTATCACCCTATGAACCATCTTTGCCAGTTGTTTTTTGTTTTGTTTTGGTTTGGTTTGGTTTTTCAAGACAGGGTTTCTGTGTAGCCCTGGCTGTCCTGGCCTCGAACTCACAGAGATCCTCCTGCCTCTGCCTCCTGAGTGCTGGGGTTAAAGGCGTGCGCCACCGCCGCCCGGCACCATCTCTGCCACTCTTAAGTGTACAGTGCAGTGATATTAAATACAGACATCTCCAACTCAGCAACATATTTCACGATTTTTCATCTTCACAACTGGACAAAAGCAGGATGTGCTCAGCAGAATCTGTATTGCCCGTTTTTCACTTTCATTCCAGTACTCAAATTACACAAACTATGAAATACTTTTTTTTGAGATGGTCTTACTGGCCTTGAACTTGCTCAGGTTTCCACATGCTAAGATTCCAGGCCTTCACTATCACACCAAGCAACAATCAAATGTGTCAACCTTTGACACTGTGGCACAACACTGACATACACAGTTCATCCCTGAGACCAGGGCTGTCAAGATGGCTCGGAGGGTAAAGGCTTGATGTCAAGCCTGGCAATCTGAGTTTGATCCCCAGAACCCACATGGTAGAAGGATAAAACCAACTCAAGCAAGTTGTCCCCTGACCTCTACATGCCAATGGCATGTGCATATCCACACAGCCACAATAAATTAAAAAATAAAAAAAATCTGCCGGGCAATGATGGCGCATGCCTTTAATCTCAGCACTTGGGAGGCAGAGCCAGGTGAATCTGTGTGGGTTCGAGGCAAGCCTGGTCTACACAAAGCAAGTTCCAGGACAGCTAGGACTGTTACACAGAGAAGCCCTATCTCAAAAAAAAAAAAAAAAAAAAAAAAAAAAACACCACTAAACAATAAAGCTGTCATATTTTAAGAACTTTATAATTTTTTTAAAAATCTAAATAGTTTTATAAATGTATTACTGTTGTAGATAGTTGGGAAACACACACTTTGCCATGACATGCATATGACAGTCACAGGACTGCTTTATGAAGTTGATTCTTTCTGCTTATCCTCATGTAGGCTCTGGGGGTTGATCTCAGGCCATCAGGCTTTTACATGACAAGTTATTCTGCTGACCCATCTTGTTGGCCCGATCTCTTCTTTTACATGACAAGTTATTCTGCTGACCCATCTTGTTGGCCGATCTCTTCCTTTATTTCTGGCCCATACCAGAGATTAAAACTAGGATATCACGCTGGTCAAACCTGCTACCACTGAACTACATCCACAGTGATAAGATTACAATATTGCACTAATCCACAAGTGGGACATTAGTGTATGAGTGCCCAACTCTAGGCTAATGTGTTCTGTGCATGTGTACAATAACCAATTACAATTTTCAGTAATTGAATTGTAGGAACTGTACAATTTTTTTACATTTATGATGGCTTTATTAGGATGTAATTGTAAATATAGCTGTGTAATCACAATTACTAACTCTAGAACTCATTTCATCTTGCAAAACTGAAACTATTAATTTGACAAAAGGTCCTCGTTTTATGCTCCCACCCACTCTAGTCTATTCTCTGAATCTGTTTTAAGTGCCAGGATGCTTTGCAAGAGGTGTACAAGGACCAGAAAGCTCCCTTTGGTTAGCTAGAAGATGGTTTATCTAGTTCGTATTAACTGAATCCTTACACTAATCATCTCTTTACCAGTAACAATCAATTTAGTAGATCCTGCTCTAGTCCTAGTGGATAACAAGGGAATAGGGTGAATAGTAATTACAGGCTCTACAAATACAGTTTCATGAGGATTGTTAGAAACTTGCCATATATTCAAGGAGGATGGATGCCCTAGTGCACTGCCAGCTTCTCAACTACCTAATTCCACATTGAAAGTTTCCAAGCAAAACAAAACAAAAAATGAGAAACTTTATGTGGCATATCCCTGTCATTTATGTTAATTTTAGGAAACTACTCTAAGGTCATGGTCTGCTTGGGATGAATTATCCTTACCCTTAAAAGGCAGTCTGACTGCTAGAGCTACTGCATTTATAGGCCCCGGTGTTAGGTATTCCTGTAACAGTAAGTGGGACATGAGAACCAGTCATCACCTTTCAAAGCTCCCTCCTATATGTCCCAGCTTTTCAGAACCATTCTGGATGGTTCAGTGGTATGCAGCTTTTGATGATTAAAAGAACCACAAAGGTTGAACTTTGTCTGGTACCCTTTCTTTGTATCACTAGGTATCCTTGCCTCCTATGTGCCCCACTTTATTCTGTGGGGGTGGATGGGAGCACATACATGTATGTGAAGGAATGGATGGAGGACAGAGATCCACTTTGGGGGATACTGTCCACCTTGTTTGTTGTTCTAAAGATTTACTTATAAGGGCATGAGCTTTTCTCCTGCATGTCTTCTAAGTGTACTGCATGTGAACCTGGTGCCCACTGAGACCAGAAGAGGGTGCTGAATTCCCTGGAATTGGAGTTCAGGAAGGTTGTTGTAGGCCACCACATGTGCTGGGAACTGAAACCAGCTCCTGTGTAAGAGCAGCAAATGCTCTCAACTGCTGAACCTTTCTCCAGCCACTACCTTGTCTTTAGTTTTGTTTTCTTTTTGGAGACAAGCTCTCTCAGTGGTTTTGAAGCTTAAGCCTCAGAGACCCACCTATCTCTGCCTCCCCAGTGCTGAGTTACAAGCACATGCCACCGTTATCTGGCTCTTCCGGCCCCGCCCCCCAGCCCCTCGAGACAAGGTTTCTCTGTGTAGCCCTGGCTGTCGTGGATGGAACTCACTCTGTAGACCAGGCTAGCCTTTAATTTACAGAGATCCTCCTGCCTAGGCCTCCCAGATGCTGGGATTAAAGGTGTGCGCCATGCAAGGATTATGAGGACTGGATTTCAGTTCTCATGCCTATGAGGGAAGGACTTTACCAATTAACCCATTTCTTCAATGTCCGCCTACCCCCCTCTTTCAAAGATCATCTGTGCCTACCTTTTCCTCAAAGTTAAAACATTATTATGAGCTATAAAACTCAAATACAGCAGAAGTTTTTGATCACCTATTAGCTGTTCCATGTCAATAGGGTAACTATCTCTCACCTTTCTCCTATCTATCCCTCCTCCCACAAGAAAGTTTTCCATTTCCATTCCTAAGTTAAAAACGTACTCCTCCATCTCAGACCCCAACCAACCCCCAGCACGCTGTGCTGCCACACCTGAAACGGCTTCACTTGTAACTCACTGCACAGCGTACTCAGTTCCTTCTGACAGATGGAGATGCTCTTGAGAAGCCTTTCCCTCAGGCTCTCCTCTTCAGCAATCATCCTATCCAGAAGGTCCTGTAAGAGAGAAAACAGTTGGTAAAGGTTTGGAGCCACTGGGAATAAAAACAAAACACAACAAAACCAACTAGCATCTCAAAACTCCCATAATTTCAAATTTTGCAGAAAGGGCTTTAAATAAACAAAACCAAGAAGAGCCTGTGATAATCCCAGTATGAATGACCAGATATTATTTATTTACTTATTATTATGTGTGCTCATGATCTGGGGTTGAGGAATGCAAACGCCGCGGAATGAGTGTGAAGGAGAAAAGACAACTTCACGACTTAATTCTCCCCTTATACCTTATATGGGTTCTGGTGATTGAGCTCAGGCCTTCAGATTATATCATGGAGTTACAGGTGCCTTTGCCTACTAAGCCACCTCTCCAAGGCCCCGAATATCAGTCTGTCTGCTATCTCAAAAAGGCAGCAACATCCCTACCTACTGTCTCACCGCAGAGACCAGTTCCACTGAACTCACCTTGATATGCTTCTTCACAACTTCAGTTCTTTGTAATCGCTGTTCCTCTGGAATCCCAATTAATTCCCATATTTCCCGGAGGTGAGTCAGAGCTTTCTGGAGGCACACGATGGACTCCTCTGCTAGCACTTCACTGAAAATCAATATAAAACCATTTTCCTTATAACAGCCAACATCACTGCCTCCAGACTAAAAGCACTATTGTCAGGAGCTAAATTGAGTAGTTTCCCAGTGGCCTTAAGAATAAAATCAAATCAGTGTAAGCATAGTAGTTTAATAAGCCCATAGCTATTCTCTGTGCCTTCTAAATGCCAAAGAAGCAAAATTATTATATTCATTCTTGGTAAGACCTAATGTCTTTGACCCATGATTCTATGTATGGCAGTATAATACTGAATCAGAAATCCTTTTATAAAAGAAAAACCAAACAAAATGTCGGTAAAATAAACTAATAGAAGAGCTTGTACGTAAACAGATGACGAAGAACTGGGCATGGTATCTTGTGCCTTTAAAGCCTGCACTTGAGAGACTGAGGCCAACCTGGGAAATAGAATGAGAGCCTTTAATCTCAGCACTTGGGAGGCAGAGGCAGGTGAATCTCTAGTTCAAGGCCAGCCTGGTCTACAGAGTGAGTTCCAGGACAGGCAGGGCTGTACAGAGAAGCCGTGTCTTGCGAAACCAAAAAAGAAAACAAAGCAAGGGCTGGGTAAGATGACTTGACACAGGTCTCACTTATGTGGCGTGAGTAGCCTTAAACCTAAGAGCCTTCTCTCAGTCTCCGGAGGACTGGGATTACAACACCCAGCTTGATTGTGAAATTACAACTAGTAACTCAAAGAAAGGCTAAATTTAAAAGATATCATTACAGGCTAGAGAGATGGCTCAGCAATTAAGAGCATCAGGCTGCTCTTCCAGAGGACCCAGGTTCAATTCCCAGCACCCACATGGCAGCTCACAACTGTCCAGTTCCAGATCTGGTACCCTCACACAGACATATGTGCAGAAAAAATACCAATGTACATAATAAATAAATAAACATAGCATCACATCATCACATGGTGGTAAATATGTAAGAAAGAATAAATTTTCACATTCCTGATATGTTGTCTAAATTGGTACACTCATTTAAAAATGTTGGGTGGTACATGCCTGCAATCCTAACACTTAGGAAGCTAATTTGGGACAGGGAGCTCAAGGCTCATCTATCTGGTCTACATATCAAGTTCTAGGACAGCCAGGGCTACATACAGAGACCTTGGTTTGGTTTGGTTTTAAAGTGGTTGGAGGATCTGGGGTACGTGGCAAGAGCTACCTTGTCTCAAAAAAAAAAAAAAAAAAAGCCAGGTGGCACACACCTTTAATCAGAGCACTCAGGAGGCAGAGGCAGGCGGATCTGAGGCCAGCTTGGTCTACAGAGTGAGTTCCAGGACAGCCATAGCTACACAGAGAAACCTTGTCTCGATAAACCAAAAAAGAAGAATAGTGCGTGGTCACAGAAGCACTAGTCATAGCATGTAAAATGGAGACGGGCATGCCAATCCAACAATTTTTCAAGGTAAAGATTTTACTGTACTCCATTCATCTTAGAGATGTTAATAATTAAGGCAACTAATACAATTTCTATGAAGCTAAGGAGCTTCCCTAAAGAAGCATGCCTTTTGCACTTCACTTTGATAATAAAAAGCTAGCCATGTCAAAACTGGTATCAACATCTCATTAAAAATAACTTTCTCCTTAGTCTTAAAGGTCCACTCCACTAGCCAATCTCCATGACAGCTGGATTTCTATGAAAAAAACAAATTGACCCAAGTCCCTGAGAACATGCTCACCTCTCCCAAAGATTTCACACTCTCCTCAGGAAAACAGTTCAGTTACCTTATCCTCCCACCTATCAACCCCTCCAGGCTGCAGCCAACAGAGCTTCCTGCATCTTCCCTGGACAATGTCCCCTACCCTACTCATATGCAAAATCAGAAAATAAGTGGCATATGTCTCTAAGAATATCACTAATTGCTGTTCTTCCAGAATACCTGAGTCTGGTTCTAGACACCTGTACTCATGTGCAAATATCCATACAAGTAAACATAATTAAAAAGACTCTTCCCTCCAAAAAAGGGGCCACATGTGATGGTGCACACCTCTAATCCCAGCACCCTGAAGGCAGAGGCAGTTGCATTTCTCTGAGTTTGAGGCCAGCCTGGTCTACATAGTGAGTTCCAGGACAGCCAGGGCTGTGTAGAGACCCTGTTTTAAAAGCCTCCTCGCCGGGCGGTGGTGGCGCACGCCTTTAATCCCAGCACTCGGGAGGCAGAGCCAGGCAGATCTCTGTGAGTTCGAGGCCAGCCTGGACTACCAAGTGAGTTCCAGGAAAGGCGCAAAGCTACACAGAGAAACCCTGTCTCGAAAAACCAAAAAAAAAAAAAAAAAAAAAAAAAAAAGCCTCCTCAATAGGCTGGAAAGATGGCTCAGCAGTTAGGAGTACTGCCTGCTCTGCAAGAGGACCCAGGTTCAATTTCCAACGCCCACATGGCAGCTCACAGCTGTCTGTAACTCCAGTTGCAGGGGATCCAACACCCTCACACAGACAAATGTGTCCTTAAAATAAAAATAAAATTAAAAAAATCTTTAAAAAAAAAAAGGGCTTGAGAGATGGCTCAGAGGTTAAGAGCACTGGCTGCTCTTCCAAAGGTCCTGAGTTCAAGTTCCAGCAACCACATAGTGGCTCACAACCATCTGTAATGAGATCTAGTGTCCTCTTCTGACCTTCAGGGATGCGTGCAGGCGGAACACTGTATACATGATAAATAAATAAATCTTTAAAAAAAAGCCTCCTCAAATAAATAAATAACAAAATAAAAAATCTTTTAAGAAATAACTGACACAAAGTCGAGGACCTCAAATCCAACTGAAACAAATGCAAAGCATTGGCCATGGTGTGGCCTTCCTGTAATCTCAATAAGACTCTGCCTTGAAATTTAAAAAGAAAAAAATCATGCCGGGCGTGGTGACTCACGCCTTTAATCCCAGCAATTGGGAGGCAGAGGCAGGTGGATGTCTTGTGAGTTTGAGGCCAGCCTGGTCTACAGAGTGAGTTCCAGGACAGACAGGGCAGCTATAGAGAAATCCTATCTCAAAAAAACAAAAATCAAACAAACAAAAAAATCAGAAGATGCTTGAACAACCCATACCAAAACACACACACACACACACACACACACACACACACACACACACACACACACATTTTGAAAGACAGGGTCTCATATGTTAGTCTGGCCTTGAACTAGAACCTCCTGCCTTTACCTCCCTAGAGAGTAGTGGGAGTATAGATATGTGCCAGCTGTTTGGGTCTCCTGTTTTGAGACAGGACCTCTTTATATAGTGCAGGATGTCCGGAATTCTCCTGCCTCGGGAAATTTGTAGATTACTGGTGAGGGTCATCATAACCAAACATACTTTGAATACTAGTTTCCTGTAGATGTCATTTAGAGTTTCAATAGTCTTCATAAAGCACCATTATCTTAACCCCAGAAGAGCTTAAGTATAATGTCGTTCAGATGAGATTATCTGGAATCCTTAGCCTTGTACTGAATTTGTATTCACAATACTATTTATTAAATGTTTGCATTCTATTCTCATTCTCGAGGTCAAGTATCTAGGGGTAAAAAATATGATCAAAATCAATAATCACGTAACCAAGGCTCTTACAAATTACAAAGTCAGTAACTACAAGCTAATACTAAATCTCACAGTACTTCTCCCACTACCTTCAGAAGGCATTTGTATAGCCTCAGCACAAGAGCCCTTCGCACCAATATTATTTTACAAGTGCGAAAACTGGCATTCAGTTCTGGTCCGATTTCAAACTGGACACTCCCAAGCAGTGCCTGTGCATCTCAAAACGATCAGGAAAAAAACCCGTAATTTGAGTTTAACTTGCAAGGAAATCAAGCCATCTTCCAGTTCAAGTAGACGGTTAACACCAAAGGGCAGACGCGAAGAAAAACAATACAGTTAAAACTTCACGGCTTTTTGAACCGGCCTCCTACGTAGCCTAGGTTAAACTCAAGGCAATCTTCTTGTTCCACCTCCCCATCAATGAGATGCCGGCCTTAGAGAAATGAGGAGTCAACACCATTCCAGGCTCAGCGTTTACACGGAGCGGCTGGTGACAGACGCTGCAGCTGAGACGCGGCGGCGGGGCCGCAACCCGAGGCTGCTCCAGCCGCGGGTCTCGCTCGCACCTGCGCTCGGCCGCCAGCCGCGCCCCGGCCTGAGACGCACCCTCCCGGGCCTCCAGCCTGCGCTGTCCCGCTCGCCGCCCGCCCCGCTGGTCGCCCCGGGCCCAGCTCCCCTCCCGAGCCCCGCTCCTCTCCCGAGCCCCGCTTCCAGCGCCCCCAGCCTCAGACGTGGGGGCCCGAGCCCGGGCGTACGCAGGCTCTCGAACCTTGTACCGCACCGCATCTCAATAGCGGCTCCCTCCCCTAAGAGACCCGCACCTTCTCCTCATGGCGGACGCTCCAAGCAGCCAAGAATCGAGACCCTCCACCTCCCTCACGCGGGACGGAGGACAGTAACCACCCGCGGACGCCTTCGCTCCCAGCCAGGTCTCGGCTCAGCTCTCGAGCCGTTGGACCCCGCGGAATTCAAACCCAGCCGGAGGCGGAGCTGTCCGACAATTGGCTCCTGTTTCCGCCACTCACGGAACCCCGCTCTTGTCCCGCCCCTCGCGACCGGCGCTCCTGCCTAGGCCTTGGGGCCGAGTACCTACGGATAGCGCCCTGGGCGTGGGAAACACTTGGAAAGGCAGCGCGCCGGCCTCGCTGTACGCATGCGTACACCTATGTCTTCTAGTTTCTATGGCTCCGCTATAGCCTCAAAGCCAGGGAGGGAAGGAGACCGGAGCGTGGGGAGCGATGATGTCACCCGAGCCCCACCCGGCGGGCGCCGTTGGCTTTCAAAATTTTGTGCTTCCTCGGAGGTGACTAGGGAGACCGCCAGAACAGCTCAACAATTCGTTACTTTCCAACGTCCCAAGAGGAGCAGGGTTTAGCAGGAAAGTTTACAGAAAGCAAGCCTTGGGCTTGGTGCCTTTGTAGACAAGTTTATCACATTTAATCATTAAGACAAACCTGTTAATAATGAGCATCATTATACTGAAGAAAAAACTTGAAAAGATTTGAGTAACTTTTCCAGAATTTAGGAGACAGGATGATGAACCAGTCTGGGCTACATGAAAAAATTAAATGATTTACTTGCCTAATTAAGCTCTGACTAAATGGGAATAAGGTAGGCCTTGTTTTTCTTACAAATTATAGGAATTTAGGTAATTAGGGAAACTTCACAATTCGAACCCACCATCGAAGTACTTGTGTGGCCTTCTCTTCCCACTGATCATTAGCTGCTCCCTACTGCACCTGGGTTACATTACCTGATATCCTGGTGTGGTAGGATCTCTGAAGTGAAGCATTTTGCTACTCAGACTAAAATTTGTAAGTAAAGCTGAGATGAATTTCTTTTTTGTTACTTTCTTTGAAATGATTTGTAAAAGTGTAACTGCCAAACACTCCCAAAGATGTTGTATTTATTATCCTGTCGTCTCCACCAAGCTTTATTTGGAGTATCTCTGTTATCCACAGCAGTAATGAATACTAATGTGCTTTTAAACCACTCTGCTCTATTTATAGGTCCAAAACAAAACACAATCAGGTATTATCATGTTTGGTTTACACTGAATTATAACTGAAATTGTTTGTTTTTCTATATTGGTCAACTGTACCATCTATAAAGTCTCATCATTGCCTTTTCTATAATAAATATTTACATTTATTGAATTTATTTGTGTGTCTATAGGGGTGGTAGTATATGGAGACTAGAGGATAACTTACATGATTCTGTTCTCACCTTCCATTAGGTGGGTCTACAGCCCTTTCACAGGGGTCAAATATCAGCTATCCTGCATATCAGATATGTACATTATGATTCATAACAGTAGCCAGATTACAGTTATGAAGTAGCAATGGGATGATTTTATGGCTGGGGGTCCCCACAACATGAGGAACTGTAAAAGGGTTACAGCATTAGGAAGGCGGAGAACCCCTGCTCTAGGAGCTCCATTCAGGTTATCAGGCACCATTAATTATTGAGCCATCTCCCTAGGCCATCATTTGTTTTTTTTCTTTAAAAGTAAACACAGCATGAGTAGGCATGGTGGCGCAGGCCTTTGATCTCAGTACTCAGGAGGCAGAGGCAGGCAGATCTCTGTGAGTTAGAGGCCAACCTGGGCTACAGAGATTCTAGGCCAGCTACAGTTAAGATACCAACAAACACACACTTTGTTTCACCTCTAGAACCATTGGGGGTGTTTTTTTTGTTTTTTTTTTTGCTTGTTTGTTTTTGGTTTTTTTTGTTTTTCAACACAGGGTTTCTCTGTGTAACAACCCTGGCTGTCCTGGAACTCGCTTTGTACACCAGGTTGGCTTCGAACTCACAGAGATCTGTCTGCCTTTGCCTCCCGACTGCTGGGATTAAAGGAGAGCACCACCGCCCAGCCTAGAACCATGTTTTACTATTGGTGATTTGAGTTTGTTTGATTTTTGAGTGCTGGGATTAAAGACATGTGCTATCAAGGGCTTACAAAGCCTGGCCTGGTGGTTTTTCTGAGACAAGGTCTCATTCTGTAGCCCAGGATGGTATGAAACTCACGACATAGCCCAAGCTGATCTTGAACTTGTGAGTGATCCTCCTGCCTCAGCCTCTCAAGTGCTGGGATTACAGAAAGCCACCGTGCCTGGGCATCAGAAAGAAACAAAACATTTTATTTACTAGGCACAGTAATATAAACCTATAATCAGAACACTTGGGAGGCAGGAAGATCACCCCAAGTTCAAGTCCAGCCTAGTTTGTATAGGTCTCAAAAAAGTAACAAACAAACAAACAAAAAAGTGCCTCTTTAAGTTAGAACAATAACAAATTTGTTTTCAGAAAAGTGTAATGAACCACAGAATTTTAGAAAAAGAAAGGTATTTGTTGACCACTGAATCTACCCTCCTTTTACACATTTACACTCTGGTACAGAGCAAGCTAGTTGACTGTTACAAGGAAGAACTGCAGTCGGCCCAGAGTCCAGGCCATGAAGCATATGAAGCCCTCAGAACAGCCAACTGTGAAAAGAAGGGAGTGTGTCTAGGACCACACTGATACTGCATTTGAGAACAGAGGCTTTATTTACAATAATATTCAAACAGGATTTAGCAAAGGCTACTTCTCCCTTCTTAGCAGCGTGGGCTATACTGCATAAACAACATCCTGGGGACAGGACATGAACCCTCTCCTCAGACCTGTTCTCCGAAGTGCCCAGCTCTGAGCAGTACAGCTAGAGAACTTTTCTATCAATGATGTCAAACACCAGCATCCCAGTGGGGTCCACACTCAGGAATGACTTCAACACTGGCCAGGAAAACTTCAGGCTTTCACCTCACTCATGGCTTCCATGAGGCGAGCACTGTTTGTAATGGCTGTTGTCAGAAAGATGAATCTGTACCCTAAGAGTCAAGACAAGCAGCAGACATGACTAAAAGCAGATCTTAGGCCCCAGCAGAGCAAGCCCACCTGTTCCACAGTACCCCAGGATCAGAATGTAAGTTTACAGACACAAACATCTGGACCCGCCTGGGCAACAGTAAGATCCAGTCCCCAGTAGAAAAACAGAAAGATAAAAGCATGGGAATACTATAATGTACCATGCCCGACCGGTCTGGGCTCCCCTGCCTCCTGTGATGGTAGCCCAAAGCAAGGCTACGCAAGTGGTACCACAGCCAGGAGGAGAGCCTTCCCTGCAGCGCATCTGTCCCCAGGACCCACGCAGCTCTGTCTCTTACCTTTTTCTCTGCCCAGGAACCGCAGGGCTGATATCTCTGAGAATGTGCAGCCCCCCAAGAACACGACCAAGATGAGGCGCAGGGACTCACTGGAAGCCTTGTCTTCTTTAGCCATGTCTGTGAGGGTCAGAGTGGACTCCCACCTTCACTCACCTGCTGGTCCTGGGTGACGTGTCCAGCCCACCGCTCTTGGACCCCCGCACCACTCGCAAGCCACGTACCTGTGAATGCACACTCACCGCAGTTCAGCAACCGCACCACTTCATCGAGGCCCTGCCAGCCCCGCCGCTCCAGCACCTAGGAGACAGAACACTGGTTCTGTCTTCTCATACCAAGTATAGCAAAGGAAACCAAGAGCAGCAAGACTCTTGTTTCTTGCTAGTTACATGGGAAGTGAAAGTTGGGATCGGCCAAGGACCAAGAGGAAGCATACAGAATGAAACAGGACCAGAAGCCCAAGTGATTCTTTGTCACCTGCTCAATGATTCGGCAGCTCAGAGGCACATAGGCACCACTGAAGACATAAGCCATGTCTCGGGGCACTTTCAGGTCATACTCCCCATCTACACGTGGGATCTAGAGAGCAAAGGTACCACATTAGGCAGGTCACTGCTCAGCACTCTGACCTCTTAAAGGTCTGATAAAAGCATCACACCCCAAGTTCACATTTTAACTCTGAGGGCCAGCAAAGGTCCTGACAAAGTGGAGTCCAGAGCCACGACAACCATTGTAGTAAATACCTGCCTCTTCTCTCTAGAGGTTCCTCTGCTCCCTGGGAAGGCGCTGCACAGAGGGTTCTTCTCCAGTTCTTCCCTCAGCCCCATCACAGGGAGCGAGCAGGGGAACCCACACTTCCCATGTTCTCTTGCACTGACAGGTCTGTTACATGTTTATTAAACAGTGGTTCTTTATGCTTTGTCTCATTATCAAATTAAGCTTGTGCTGTAAAGTTACCAACGACCTTCATAAAAATGCAATGACACGCCGGGCGGTGGTGGCGCACGCCTTTAATCCCAGCACTGGGGAGGCAGAGCCAGGCGGATCTCTGTGAGTTCGAGGCCAGCCTGGACTACCAAGTGAGTTCCAGGAAAGGCGCAAAGCTACACAGAGAAACCCTGTCTCGAAAAACCAAAAAAAAAAAAAAAAAAAAAAAAAATGCAATGACACGCCTTTAATCCCAGCACTCGGGAGGCAGAGGCAGGCGGATCTCTGTGAGTTCAAGGCCAGCCTGGGCTACCAAGTGAGTCCCAGGAAAGGCACAGAGAAACCCTGTCTCGAAAAACCAAAAAAAAAAAAGAATAGAAATGTTTCCCATCCAGTCTTGTTCCACATACCAAATTCAGCTTTTTGCTAATGGCACGAAAATTGCTCCTCTTGGCCAGAGAACTGAAGGCGTCAGTGATCTTTCCTAGGGAAGAAATCTGAGCTAGGTTCCATCTAACATCTACAGATTCACAATACCATTGAAGGTAGCAAAGAATGGTACACCAATGCCCTGTCCCATCTTTCCTGCCACTGAAATCACTCCCCACAGTTCCCTGAAACTGATCAAGACATTCAGCATACCTCTCTTCATCTACTGTTTTTCTCCTACAGAGTATCAGCTGCCCACTCAATGTAGTATACAAGGTGACCTTAATTTCTAGGTTAAGCATCAACTTCAGAATAAAATCAGCCTAATGTACTGAGAGACCGTGGACAAGTCAATTTCCCTAAGCTTCAGTTTCTCTAGAAGAAAAACAAGGGAAAAAACACCTCTTGGAGGATTAAGTGAGAACTCATATGTCAAACGTCAGCACATGCTAAGTATGTGTGGTAGTTTGAATGTAATTGGCCCTCATAATCTCATAGGGAGTGGCACTAATAGGAGGTGTGGCTTTTTTGGAGTGGGTACGGCCTTGCTGGAGGAAGTGTGTCACTGTGGGGGCGGGCTTTGAGGTTTCCTATGGTCAGGATACTGATGAGTGTCTCTCTCAGTCAACTTCCTGTTGCCTGTAAAATGTAGCACTCTCAGGTCTAGCACCATGTCTGCCTGCATGCTGCCATGCTCCCCGCCATGATGATAATGTACTAAACCTCTGAAATTGTATGCGAGCCACCCTAATGAAATGTTTCCTTTATAAGAGTTGCTGTGGTCATGGTGTCTCTTCACGGCAACAGAAACCCTAAGACAGTATGCAGTGTATGGAAACTGCTCTTACTAGCAGAAGTAGCAACTGCCATGCAATCATCTCTCCCAATCCTCTCCATCCCAGAGGGCTCCCCCTGCTGTAAGAAAAGGAGCAGTTCCCAGGGGTGGGGAGATGGAGGCTTACCTGCAGCCTTGTCAGTCACTAGCTTGCTCACTTTATTCTCTACTGCTGTCAGGGTGTCCCCCGGAGCCTGCTCTGTTAGTAGCCCAGCTCGACGCAGATTGGAGAAGGTTAGCAGGTGCTCAGGGCCATAGCTCTAAAGGAAATGTGCAAGTCAGTCATTTACTGGGTGTTTGTTCACAAAACATCCAGTACTGTTAGTGACACAGAGAAGAGGGGAGGAATCCTGCAGTGTCCACTCTGTGTGGCAATAATGAAGAGGTATAAAAAGTAGCAGAAGGGTTGGGGATTTAACTCAGTGGTAGAGCGCTTGCTTGCCTAACAAGTGCAAGGCCCTGGGTTCGGTCCTCAGCTCTGAAAAAAAAAAAAAGGAGCAGAAACTATTTTTTTTTCTTTGAGACAAAGTCACTATGTGTAGCCCTGGCTGTCCTGGATCTCACTCTGTAGCCCAGGCTGGCCTTAAACTCAGAGATCCACCTGCCTCTGCCTCGAGTGCTGGGATTAAAGAATGCACCACACTGTCTGGCTGGGAGAAACTTCTTAAGAGCAGAAGCACAGAGTCGTGGAGATGGCTCAGCAGTCAAAGGTGCTCGCTGCCAAACCTGGTGACTTGAGTTTGATCCCTGGGGACCCAGGCAGTGACGGGGAGAAAACCATCTCTTCCAAGTTTTTCTCTGGTCTCTACAGGCGCACACGCGCGCGCACACACACACACAGACACACACACAGAGGCATACACACACACACACACACACAGAGGCAGTGAAAGGAGGGGAAAACCATCTCTTCAAAGTTTTTCTCTGGTCTGTACAGGCGCACACGCACACATACACACAGGCATACACACACACACACACACACACACAGGCATACACACACACACACACACACAGGCATACACACACACACACATACACACACGCAGTGAAAGGAGGGGAAAACCATCTCTTCAAACTTTTTCTCTGATCTCTACAGGCATACACACACACACACACACACACACATACACACACGCAGTGAAAGGAGGGGAAAACCATCTCTTCAAAGTTTTTCTCTGATCTCTACAGGCATACACACACACACACACACACATACACACACACAGAGGCATACACACACACAGAGGCACACACACACAGGTATACACACACACACACAGGCATACACACACACACAGGCATACACACACACACAGAGGCATACACACACACACAGAGGCATACACACACACACAGAGGCATACACACACAGAGGCATACACACACACACACACAGAGGCATACACACACACACAGGCACACACACACACAGAGGCATACACACACACACAGGCATACACACACACAGAGGCATACACACACACACACACACAGGCATACACACATACACACACACACAGAGTCACAATCAATAAGTATAGTTTTGATATTTTTCTTTAGATTTTATGTGTACTGAGTGTTTTGCTTGAATGTATGTGTACCACGTGTGCCTGGTGCCCACAGAGGTCGGAAGAAGTTGTTGAATTTCCTGGAACTGGAGTTACAGATGGTTGTGAGCCAGCTCTCCATCACTAATAAAAATAATTTATCTGTTTGTTTTTTGTTTTTTGAAAACAGGGTTTCTCTGCAGCTCTGGCTGTCCTGGAACTCACTTTGTAGACCAGGCTGGCCTCAAACTCAGAGATCTACCTGCCTCTGCCTCCTGAGTGCTGGGATCAAAGGCATGAGCCACCACTGTCCAGCATTATGTCATTTTTTTTGGGGGGGGGAGGTTTTGAGACAGGTTTCTCTGTGTAGTTTTGGTGCCTGTCCTGGAACCCACTCTGTAGACCAGGCTGGCCTCGAACTCACAGAGATCCGCCTGGTTCTGCCTCACAAGTGCTGGGATTAAAGGC